AAGTCCCATAACAACTTGGTGATGAGCTCTTCAGTTTACACAGGACAGTAGCCAAAGCACCGTGCTGAAGTCATGAAGCGTGATCCATAAATCTTCCAGTAAGCTAAGGTGTTTTGAAAGGGGAATGTTTACCTTCATTTAAAATCCAAAACTGGGTAATTGCATGGTAGACTGGATACAAGGGCTGTGCAGTAAAATCTGCAGCTCCGCCTTGTATAGCTTTTGCCATAGGCTAACTTGTATTTGTGGCTGTAGATACTGAAATCTTATTTTCAAAATTGCCTGTGCAAAACAAGCTAGAGCAGGGCTTGGACTAGTAATAGATAAAAATGAGCCATCATTTTCTTGTGTGTGCTCTTCTGATTTTATCCATACGTGCTATTTGACCTGGCTAAATTTAAAGTGTTAGTTTAAATTAATGTTCCCTAAAGTCAACTGGAGGGGGGATTTCTTTTTCATTATTTAAAAATAAAAAGAAAGTTGATTATAAACAATGCTAATACTTGTTTTGTTTTTAAAAGCTTCTGTATTAAGTGTTTAATGAGCGTAGGAGGATCCTGGAAACCCACTTTTCTGCCTAATTTCATTGCTGTTGGGAACTTAATATCACTAAAGGAAGTTCTCTTGGGTCATCCCTTACCGCATCCTTTGTCGGGCGGAATGACTGTATGCGCACCGATGTGTGCGTACACGCATGGTTTGTGTGTGTCTGTGTGTATATATGTGCATATGCATGCGGTTGCTTTATTTCAAAAGGGCTGGCTTAATATTCTCCAATTTTCGTTGCAGACCTTTCTGGAGGTCAGAAAACGTGATCTCACATGCGCTGCTCTGATAGAGTAGTTTTTTCCTTTCATATGTTAAAGCGCACGAGTGGATTAATCTGTTGAAAAATTCAAAGTTAAATTGACTGCAGTACAGCATTTTCATCTGTGTAGCAGCTAATACTGGGTGATGACATTTTCTGTTGAATGTAGCTTTTGAAGTACAGATTGGACTTGCGAGAGCAGCGCTGGCTGGCGGGTTGTACCTTTCGCAGCTGCCGGGCACCAGCCATCTGCATCCTTCTGCATCCTTCTGCCTCCCGCGTCCCCTTCAGCTCGCTGCGGGTCAGAGTACAACAGGCTCTGCTCGCTGCGCGTCCGCTCCAGTAAAGGTGCACCTCCGGTAACCGCAACACCCAACCCCGCGGCTTGCTGGGCTTTCTTACCGTGCTGGTGTGCTGCTTTTTATATCTTTCCGGTTGTCTCAGCCTGGCTCGTCAGTTGTTTTTGCACCACTCTTCCTTAAACACTACCTTTTGGAAACATTTGTATTTACAAGCTGCAATGCAGCGCTGTTGTCTTAAGGTTTTGACTGACCCTAATTGCTATGACACATGTAACTAATGATGTTTTGTACTTTCAAGGAGTGCACTAAAAAGGTGATGACATATGAGTTACTGAATACGGTACTGTGCAACTTGTGCAGTAGAGTTTGTGCAGACCTTATGTACCATAATAAGCAGTTTTCCTGTGCCCGTGTTTGTTTCCCGTCAGGCTGGCCTGTCTCCAGCGCGGAGGCTGCCTCGCGCTCTGGAGCTTCAGAGGGGGGCAAGGCAGAGCGCTCAACCGACCTCTCAGCTTGAAGAAGCCTAATTTGATTAGGCTTCGATTTGATTCTCATGATTTGTGGCAAATATGTCGCGCTATGTGTGTGTATATATGTGAGGAAACTGAAGACGGGTGTAAAATTAAAAAAAAAAAAAAATTCAGATTGCCCTTTTATTTTTGTTTACTCTTCAACCACAATCTGATTTATGCTTATTGGAGTCTTTGAACTTCAACTCCCTTGAAGAATCTCTAGTCTCTCGCTTTTTTGATGTTGCTTGAAGGGGGATGTGTGTGTGCGCGCGGTGCGTGCGCTCGCATGCTGTGGTGCTCTGGGCAATTTCACTCCGGAGCGCTTCCCTTCCTTTGTTTAACCTATGACCTGTGAAAACAAGAGTTAATCAAAAGTTCTAAGGTAGCTAAGAGGAAGGGGAAGTGTTTGGTTACAAATTAAATATGAGCGAGTCATAAGCCATAAATCTTCAGTCGTGCTACCAGTTGTGCTACTTAAGTTCCATGTGGTACAGAAAGTTTTTGGTTATAAATTCAACCTCTGTTTCTTTGGAGGGTTGTTTAAAGGCTGCCGTGAGGATTTGTTTCTTGTAAGAAAAAATCCACACCTTTTGTCTCTTCCTTTTGACAGAGATCTAGAAACAAATTCAGATAACTATATTTCTCCCCCCACCCTCGCTTTAGCTGGTCACCAGTTGGTCTAATAAAAGCAGAACTGTTTCACTCTTGAGTAGTAAACACATGGAATAAGTGATGAAGTAAAAGTATTGAAGATGGCAGGATAAATTAGTTTTCTAACGTGTCCAGAGCTTTCTGGATGAAGGAGATCCTGAGTCCCGTAGTGATAAAGGAGGGAGGTGAAAATCGAGATGAGGTTATCTACATAATTGACACAGTTTTGTGGCGGGTTGGTTGGGTTGTTTCATGTTGTCTTGCAGCACTCTTGAGCAAGAGCTACGCAAATCCCCGTGTATTGTATTCTCTTGAGGTCTGCTTCAAATATCAGCTTATTTCCTCAGCTTCAAAACTGTGAAGCTTCTCTCCTCAAAATGGAAAGTTATTCTTAAAATAAGAAAAATAAGTGGTTATGCTGAGATGCTAAACCATTATTTGGAAATCCTGGGTTAAAATAAGGAAGAGTTAGCGTTAAACAAAGGCATGTTGAAGAAAAGTAACGAAGTCATTGTAAGATACTAGTGAAGAGAAAAGGGAAGGCCAGCGAGGAGTGAGCAAAGATAACGGAAATCGGGCTATGCCTTCCCTTTTGTTGTATGGAGAGTTTGCTGGTGTTTGGACATTGTGTGAATATGAGACTTTATCTGGGCTATTTTTATTAGATCGTAGAAGCTATTTTCTAGATGTTGAGTGAAAGAATTAAAACTGGATTTGGATGGAGCATTCTCACGGATAGAACCTACAGATTTGTCATGTTTGGTGTATCGCAGTAATAAAGAAAACTCCCTTGAATCTATAGTGAGGCAAGGTTTAGCTGTGAACGAACAGGCCCCCGGCAGGACAGATAAGTAAATCTCTGAAGAAAGAACACAACCTGACCTTGGTTTCCGAGCCCAGCGTTGTCCCTGTTGGGTACATGCACTGCTTGCTGCCAACGTGCCGAGAACCCGGTGTGTCCTCAGCCACAGGCGTCGGGGCTCTAGATGAAGTGTGGCTCTGGCAAACTAGAAGCTGAGGTAACTTGCTTTTGTTTATTGCTTTTGTACTGACACATACATTATAAACATGATAATATTTTAAAAGATTCTCATTTTAAATCTGTAAATGTAGTTTCCCAGCAAGGTCCCTGAGCAACTAAATAGAACTTTAATTGTACCTTCCTGAAATAAGTTTTGGGTTCATTCTGTCAGGGAGCTTTCTGCCGCCTTGGTTTTCTGTCTTTTCAAACTCTTTTGATAGATGCCTTGCAAGGATTTGTTTACCAGGTTCTTAATCTCTACTTAGCAGATATGTTTTGAGAGGATTTCTTGTTACTCTTGTAATGGCTTTTAACTCTGCTGAAGTTTATTTAACTAAACAGAAAGAAAGAAACTTATCTTTTAACTAATCCTTCTTGATTGTTTACACTATAATGCCAAACTTAAATGCTGTTTAAAGTGGTAATTGTCTGTCTGCTCTATTCTAGTACGTAGTTTGTAAAGATGCTTAGAGCATATTAATTTAAATGATAATACTGTCATATAACATGAAATGTTAAGTTGCTTATCGGTGTATTTTGATAAGCTACTTACATTTTACAGTAGCACTTGCGGGCTTCAAACAAATGTTAATGATGGAGTGCCATTCGCTTTATCTGTCTCATATATAGCTTCTCACTTCATTTATTACTAAAAGCTGTACAGTTAGGAACCATGGGGCACTCAATTCTTTATAGTTGTCAGGACGTAGTCATATTTTATAAAAACTTTAAATCCTGTCTAACTATATCAAAATAGAATCCATTTGCTTCAGAAGGCATCTGTGATTAAAAGAAAGAATCAGTTTGTGCGTCACACGAACTTGCTTTCCTATTTGCAGCTGAGAGGAAATTCCAGAGGAATTGAAATAAAGAACTCGGCTGTGAAAATAGGGCACAAAATCATACCAAAGTGTCTGGTAGTGAAAAGTAACAGCTGTCTGTCTTACTTTATGGAATGGAAGTGTAATGTGAATGAAAAAGATGTGACTTTTCTGCACGTTTGTCTTTTGTTTCTTTATTACTTTTGTAAGTTGACTGCAAATTTACTTAAGGTAAAGTTTCTATTTGACCTAACTAAGGGCTGGGCTAAATACAACGATAGAGGGTATGGAGTCAGATTTGACAACAGTTAAAAATGGAGATACTGGTTATGCAATTTAAAAAATCCAGTTGTATCAGGATTCAAAACCAAAATAACTGTCTGTCCACAGTTTGCTAGGACCCTCGGCAGCTGTACAGGAGACTAGGTGTTAAAGAAAAACTTCGGGAAATAATTACGATCAAAAACGTTCCGCCATACGTGAACGTGGATAGGTTAGCGTATGTTCATCTTACAGGTTAAAAACTTCCACCGGGTCGTATGTTTGTTCCGCGCAGGGCCGGGGGCTCCAGGCTGCCCTGCCCGATGCCCGCGCTTGATTGCGCCTGGTGCCACGCGTGGAGTTCAGTGCCCGCAGGTGGCTGGAAGCGCGGGGAAGGGTGAACACCGGAGCTTGGTCTGCAGAGAGGAGGGATGCTTCAACCTTCTGGCAGTCTTCTCCTTCAAATGGAAGGTCCGATGTGGCTTTCCTGTCAGATACTTATAAAGGGTCACGTCCCGCGGAGGCCGTTGTTGGGATGCATCTATACAGTAACAGCCAGCAATCTTGGATTTATTAACTGAGATTTGGCAAGTTAAATGTATGCTTTTTCTTTCTTTTTTTTAGTTACCTCCCGTGGTTTGAAGTCTTTTATAAGCTGCTCAATGTCTTGGCAGATTATTCAGCAAAAGGACAGGTATTGTTCTAAAGTACTAACCCTTCTTTTCCCTGCCCCAATATCAAATGAGGGAGAGAGGATGAAAACAAGGTGTTTTAAGAAGTGCTTATATCAGAGATGACCGTGTGAACTATTAATCTGTATAATGTGGTAATATATAAGGTGATATTCAGCCGAGCTTGGTGAGTGCCTTTGAAAAATTAATATGCTTTTACATTTTTTGGGGGAAAAGATAAAGTCCAAGAATGTGACTGTGGACCCAACACAAGTGAATGGTTTCCCTGCAGTTACCCACACTGCGCAGCCTTTTGATTACCTGAACTGTGTTCAGCGCATCCATGCAATTCCCATATTGCAGTGTTTCATACATCTTTGACAAATGTCTTATCCAAGTTTACTTGTCAAGTGTGTAGAACTAAGCTTACTTATGCAAAATGCTTACCCATGTAGCATCATCTAGCCTAAGCTCCTCAGATGCTGTTTTGCTTTTAAAGCAAAACAAAGTAAAATTCAGTTCTTGAAACAGTGAAAAAATGAACGAAGCCGTTAAAATTTGCCTCTATGTTTAGAAATGATAATTCATGATATAGAGAAATCACATACATGATTGCAACACCTAGCCTAGTTTCATTTATTTAACTATTACATGTATAATCTTCCCAGTTAGGTTGCTGCTTTGATTGATTACCACTTTGTGATAATAATTGTGTTTTGCATTTGTCAGAATCATTCGCGTTTGAGATAGAAACACTTGGGGTCACATCTTCATCTAGATGGATTAAATTGGCTTTACCCTCAGGTAGTGAGTTGTTATAAAGAAGGCTTGCTCCGAGCTGGGTAACAATGTAGTGCATTGGTTGGTGACTCATTAGGTTGTAGAAATATGTAGAAATAAATATGAAAAAAAAAAGTATTCTAAAAAAAATCATGTTATAAAGCCCAGCTGTCAGAGGAAACTACATTCATTTCTGTTCATAGTCTACTGTATAAATCTATTTGCACATTTTTCTTTATACTTGCAAGTTCTCTAAGCCCCCGGTTCCACAAACATTGCCCTTCCGTCTTGGAGTTTAGCTTGTTATAGCAATGCCTGCTTAGTATTCATTTTTTTTTTTTCCTTCTCCTTCTTATTTCAGGATAGTCAAAGGAGTGAGCTCCTAGAAACACTTCATAAACTTACCATCCCTGAGCCAGGAACCTCTGTTCATCTTGGAGTGGTAAGTGGAGTGGAGAGATGTAAACTAAGGTGTTTAATTTTCATTACATGTCATAATAGAGGAATGTCAAAAGCAATTCTCCTTTTTGGAACTTGGTACACAGATGTTGTTTTCCTGTGAGGACACAGAGCTGTGAAATTCCCCTTTTCACATTTGGGGCCCTTTGCTTCCCTTTCCTTAACCTCAAATGTCTTTGAAATGCTATTCTTTGGTTGGGGGAAGATTGTGTATATTCCCCATGGAAGTTTCTCACCGTATCATCTGTGACCTGCAGGAGGTCACAGAGCAGCAACATGACATTTGTTGTCCACACTTCTGCAGAACTCCTAGACCTTGCAAGTATGCAAGGGGGACAAGACTGGAAAGCAAACGGTGACGTACCTGTCATAGCAGCGTTTTGAGTATTAACTCTTTATCACATTTTCTGATTCCTTCTCCTCTTCCTCCCCCCAAGAAAAAGGCTCAGAGAAAAAAGAATTTATTTCATTTTTATATCTTGTGAGAAAATCAATCAAAGAACACTGAAAGAATACATATGGAATTTTGTTGATAGGGATTGTAGTTTGAATTTAGTCTTTCGGGGTTTTTGTCTTCAAATTAATTTTTGCAGAACAACCTTGTGTTCCAGGCTGTAGTGAAACAATACTTAAGATGCACATTGCTGTGGTTGCCAGTTAGTTATTTAAAGTTCCCATCAAAACTAGTGATGTGTGCGGCCACAGTTCTCTTCTCCCTCTCATTTCCCTTACTCCTCCTTCTTAAGTACTTTTTGGCAACAAGCAGCTCACTCTCATCACGTCACCCTGTAATGTCAGTCGACAGGTAACAGTTGTTTGGCCTTGCTAGGTCACCAGCTGGTAGTAGAAATGTCCCAGTCCTCTTGAGGCTAGCTGTTTTATGAACTGCGTTTCCGTTTAAGGGGACGAGCTGTCTTGAAAGGCAATGATCAGTTGGGATATTTCAGTTTTTTCATACCAGTGTTTTCAAGGAATACTGCCGGTGTCCCCTTGTCTCAGACATTTCATGGGCGGTGAAGCAAGAAAGGATATCAAAAAGCAGCCCAGGGACTGTTAGCTGTGCTGTCTTCATGCATTTTATTTTGGCTGTTTACAAGCCTACTTTGGTGTTGGGGTGAGGTTCCTATATGTGATATAGTTATGTATACTATTCCTGTATCTTTGTATTGCATCTTTTCAACCAAACTAAAATAGTGATATATCAAAAAGCAAAAATTTGTGTTTATACATTTAATGTCTATATTCAGCGTAGCTGTTAAACCCACTTGCTATTTTGGGTTATGGACTGTTCATGAAGCACTGAAATGTCTGAGATATACATACAAGAACATTGTGCCAGTTGTGGAACTATGCCAAGAGTATAACAGCATTTAAAGCTTCAGCCAGTAATTAATAAGTAGCCCTAAGACAAATTGTGGACATCTTAAAAATAATACAAGTTGTATACAACATCAATTTACAAAAGCAGTTTAGTCGCATTCTCTCCTTGCCTTTCCCAAAGCCCTGGCCAAGAATCATGCAAGTCATGCATAGTCAGATTGGGAACCAGAGTGAACTTGGGCTCTTGGAATGCGGACAATTATGCAAATGTAACAATATAATAGACTATGACATTGCGAGACCAATATAGCCTTTCAAAATGTGTTTTTTAAGGCGTATAAAAGTGACCTAGAACTGCAGTAATATTCTTCAGGTAAGTAGGCATAAAACTTTAGGAAGCATTTCTCAGTAAATTTCCATAACTTCACCGTTGTCTTGAATGAAAGACTGATGCTGTAAGTCAGAAAAGGACCTGCTTGCTGCTGTTTCCTATAGTCCCTCATGCAACCTGCAGCGCGCTGCGGAAAGATGGCTTGAATTATAGACTGCCTTGGAGTTTCCTTGGCATATGTCATACATTGTGTGAGTCTGTCTGTATCAGCGTCTCTGAAGAACAAAAAAAATGTAATATAACTTTTCAGGAGGATTTGATACATCCTCTCTTAGTGCATTTCATATTACATGTGTGATCTGAGAATCCAGCTCTTGAAATCCATGACAAAGAAGTCATATTGGTAGTTGGTAACAAAAATTCTGTCTTTTTTACTTAGCTGATCAACTACTATTATTGCTTTTAGTAATACCAAGCAATAGATTTAGATTGCTTTTTACATTATTGCAATAATCAATATTTTCTCTTTTTTTAGCACTTTTACTTTACTGTGCCTGACATCAGAGAGCTTCCCAGTATACCTGAAAATGTGAGTACTGTAGAGGACAGTGCACTTTACCATTTCTGTTTCATGTCAGCCACAAAATGGATAACAATTGTTACCTCTGTTTGGCCTGGTAATAGATTATATTCTGTAAAATATTGCTAGAAGTTGAAGTAAACTTTAAGTGTTCAAACTGTAAGTAGTACTGGGCAGAAAACATTGTGTTGCTAACTGCAGAAGTACATGAGTAACAGGCTTTTTGACGTACGACATAACAGAATTTAATGTTTGCCATTTTAATTAAGAAAAGATACCAAACGAACAGGAAATTGACAGCATAATTATCTTAAGATGTAAGTCAAGATATTTATTTTAAAAATATAAAACATTATTATCACCACTCTACTATTACTTACTGCTAACATTTCATGATTTCTTAGTCCTAAGAAGTGAGTAATTTAAAATACACATCTATAGTTTCAGTCTACTCAAAATTGGGAAAGAACAGTGATATGGTAACTGTATGTAACAGTACAGTGGCGTTTCGGAGAACAATGATGGAGTTTATTTGTGTGAAAATTTGCTCCCTGCAATAAGCCTATGGAAGATTCTTGAAAGTAATCTTAAGGCAGTTTTGTGATTACCATTCGAATGAGTACTACAAGAGTCATCCTCAACATAAAAATGCAGGACTATGACAGAAAGGAATTTCATCCACTTTGCCAAGACTTTAATTTATATCAAAAAGAAGACAAAAATCTGTTGAGGTATTTCACCTTTGTAGCTAACAGGGTCTGTTTTCTTCTCATAAAGTTTCAAAGAACTGCTGTTTTAAAAGAATAGAAAGTTTACTTTAAAAGAAATTTAATAATTTTGCAGCTAAAGAAGCAATTTTTTTTCTTCTGCATCCAGAATGACATTTCATTCTCCCCTTGCTGACCTCACACTGTTTACATAGTTTTCTGGAGGTATGAGACTTTGAGTACAACATGAAACTGAAACTAAAAACTAAACTTAGGAAGAAATTGTTGGGACCTGCTGGAGAGATAACATACTGGTTTGAAATTAATTTTATTTGAAAAAATGTTTCAATACAAGATATTGTTTTTGTTTATTACAGTCTTATGGCTACTTATTAGTCAAGCCAAGGGTGTAATCTTGGTAGTCAGTATCTTCAGTGGAAGAGTTCAATGTTTCCAACATCCATATTGCTAGTACTTAAGAAAGATCAAATACCACTGTGGTATTAACCTGCCTTGTTCTTTACAATGCTGTCAGAATTCAGATATCACATATCCTTACCTAAACCATTTTGTATTGATCCAGATGAACATCTAGGCTCTTTGCTTTAAAGGTCTATTATTAACCATAGTTGCTTAGGTGATCACTCCTTCCTTTGTGCTAACATCTTCCTTCTGTATCATACTTACACAATAACATTCAGGAGTTGACAATCTGCATTTGTGATTAAAAACTGAAATGTATTGAGGATAAAGTACTAATGATCTGGGTAGAAAAAAGCACATCTGCTAATCGTACAGTGAGACCTTTCTGAAAGAGTGACAGAAGAGACCAGGAAAAACGCCCCGTTTGTTAGATGGCTTTCTGAAAATGTCAAGCATACCTGTTTCCTTAGGAACACTGTTTCAGAGACTTTTTAAGCCTCAGGAAGTTGTCTTGTATGTGTTTCAGCATGCCTCAGCTTTCTAGCCAGATGAGAGGTCTGTGGGAAGACAATGTTGGCATTTGCTTCTCTTCAATACTCTTTAATATGCTCCTGCTATGTCTCTTAGCCAAAGTTCTAAGCCCAATATCTCAGTTTTTTCTTGAACATTTTGCGGTGCCTCAGCACCATATACCTCAATTTATGGCATGAGAGAAAGAAAGAAAAGGGAATCATCACGGCATTTAATCTCGTTTGTGGATGATTTCTATAGCAGATAACATTTGGGGCTTTTTGTTTCTGTTTCAAAACATAGTTGCGAGCTTTTCTGTGCTGTAGACTTCATACTGACACACGTCCTGTCAGTAAATTTAACAGATGTGCTTTTTCCTCTAAGGTCCTTTATTTTTGTAGAAATATGATACATGAATCTAAGCCAGCTATCAAATCCTGTCCTAATCCAGACATGAAGTTCCTTGTTCATAGGGTTTGTATTTTATGTTAATCTCTTTTATGCGATCATCTCAAACTTTAACCATTTCAGTCTGATAAGTCTCAAATCACCTGGATAGGAAGGAAGGAAGTTTATTTCCATTTTACAGGCTGGTAAATTGGAGAGCAGAAATGAGCTAGTAATGGTAAGAATCCAGTGGCAGGATTAGAAGTAGATCGTCTGCCTGGGCCTGCTTAGCCGACACGGAGCAGCTTCGTAACAGCCCCCGGTGACGGCTTCGGGAAGTAGCGCTGTATCTATGTCTGCTGGTGATGTTCGCTTTATATTCAAAAGTCTGAGTCAGCTTCCCAAAACATTTGAGCAGGACAGATGATGAATGCTCGTGAATCAAAGGCTGTTTTAAAAGCAGAGGCCTTGGGCCAGAACGAGTTGGAAGCCCTTTGAAAGCTGAACGCTCAGCCTTCACGGGGGGAGTGCCGGGTGATGCTAAAAAGCATCCTCTGTGAATCATTGAGTGGTGCTGATGTGCCTCAGAGGGAATGTCACGGTTTCGATGTAGGTATCCTGTGCAGTGATGTCACTGTGAAGGATGGACTCTTTGCAGTGTCTGGGGTGAACCGGGGCACCTCTGGGAACAGAAGTGGAAGAACATTTAATTCTGTGAACAAATCTGTATGCCTCTCTATATATACACCTCCCGATTAAAAAAGCTTAGGGCTCGTGGTAAGAAAGAAAAAAATTAAAAATCAAATCCAGTGGTCTAGCTGTTGTTCCAGTTGATGTTTTCCATTCCTCAGGCATTTCTTTTGTTAATTTTGTTTCTAATGAGTGTTGTGTAATTTTTTGAGGATTTTATCTGTTAATGCAACTTTCATGTAGAATTGGAACATATTAGGGAATAGTACAAGGACATTAAATGAGCATAAATCTTCATGGGTTTTAATCAATTGGCCCAATTTATTCAAAATTCTACATATCTTATCAATTATTACATTTTAAAACGCATATTAGAAAAAGTTTTAGTGGTGCCAAACTTTGAAGTTGTATTTAATGATTAATGGAGAGCTGCACAGAACTCTATCTGGAATGTTAACAAACTTCTTGGAATTATCTGACTGTGTCTCAGATCAGTATGTTTAATGAGTCAGGAAAACATTTCGCATGGACACGTTTAGGTAACAGCTAAGCATTCACTTTTCAAAAGATGTAAGTTATATGAAAGATTTGTAAATGCACTGTGGCTTCAGGACGACGTTGGGTTCATTGCAGGAAATACCTGCAAATACTACAAACTCATGTTAGATTTTGAATGTGTGATATTTCAAAGAAAACAAACTTCTAAATAAGGTGAGGGATTTCAAACAGCAGGACGGAGAAGGAAACCTGACTCAATTCTACTATCCTGTTCTAACAGGAAATATACTGAAGTCTTATAAATGAAGCTGTTCAAGAGCAGACTATGAGCTTTACTCGTTGCAGAGGAGAGAGCTCATTGGTTTGTTCATTCAGTAAAAAATTCATTAGATGATGGAGGAAGAGAAGTATGTGTGTTTTGTTTTTTTTTTTAATCTCAAAAGTCAGTGTGTATGTGCATTTACTGATACTAGATAGCAAACGATCAAATAGATGATTGATGTCAGAATGAACTTTCAAAGGAGCATGAGGGAATTTCACAGGACACTTAGTGAGTTTTGAGAGGAGTGGGGATACCTGTTCCTCTATTTTATTTTGAAAATCCCACTTTTTACTCTCCAAAGAAAGGTTTAAACCCTAGGAAACAAAATACACAACAATTATACTGCAAATTGGAACGCTTTCATTTGTATTTATTTAACTCATTCATGGTTTTGTCACTTACGAGACATGTCTTTCAAAATACGCGTGTAAGTCCCAATTTCATCTTCAAAGATGACAGCTTTCTTATAAATAAAACTTAGAGCTAACACGTGAATTTCCTTAGTATCAATACATTACCATACAGCCCACATGCTTCGCAGGTGTCATTGGCAAATTTCTGAGAGCAGAGAAGACTAAAACCTTATAAATCTTTCCATCTGAAGGTACGTTTGTGTGTCAAAGCCAGTATTTCACTACAATAAACTTAATCAAAGAATAATTGCAAATCGAGTCCCCATGTCTATTGTCCTCTCAGTAGTGGATACTGGTGCCGTATAAACACATCCATGCACGTGCATATCTACGTCTTCAGGCAGAACGTAGGGATTATGTGATCCTTTTGCTATGCTCCTAATTTGGGTGGCATCAAAGGGAGTTCAGTGCTACTTAAAAATTCTTTTTAATTCACACTATTTGCAGTAATTGTGTCGTCATGCGCTGTGTTTTGGCGTCGTGGAAAGATGAGTGAGAGGGGGAAGAAGAGCTGTAGAGAAGACAGCTTATGTTTAGACAAAAATATCATGCTAATCAGCACAGATGGGATGAGAAATACAGAAAAAGTACATGATAGTTTAATAGGTTTTTGGCAAAATGTGTTAGCTTTTTTTTTTCCTTTGAATCTACCTGTCTGCGGCTATAGCTTTTCTGTAACAAAGACCTGAATGATTGTTTTAGATAAATGTGTTTGAAGCTAACCGTAATGAGCGTAGTTTTTATCTATGTACTTGCTGGTACAAAAGTCTTCCAAATACAATGCTTAATTTTTCTTTAGTTCTTTGTGTTTGGATGGCAAGCTGTGGAACATATTTTTGCACAGTATGAAGCATCTTGGCAGACTTCTCAGGCCAAGTATTGGTGGTTTTAGTTATCTTTGGATCTGTCAAAAGTGCTAATAGGCTTTGTTGAGCTTCTTTAAGTTTCTAAATCATATTTGCTTTTTGCTTTTCTGCACTTTTTTATTTAACGATGATTAAGATTGCACTTGAATTCATGACTAATCTAGTTTTGCTTTCACATGTGCTTTTTGTATAAGACTGTCTTTATCATATAGAAAGCCTTTCATATCTGTAAGAAGTTATTTGGAAACAAATCCCTTAATTCAGCATTTTTGGATGTATTACCTTTTCTTCCACCAGCCCCCTACTCTTTTAAATTTCTGTGTTTTAAGAAGTTAAAATATCATCTACAAACAAAAACCCTTTTTTGTTTGCCTTGCACTGTAGAAGCCTCTCATTCTAGGAGCACATAATACCTTTTGAGGAAGTTACCCTACATGGTGGCTTTCTAGTTTTGAAAGTAAGTATCTTAGGATCACATTCCACTGTTTATTAGAAGACATCTTAATTATTTAGTAAATGAGATATGATTCATGCCGCTGTAGCATGTGCACAGGGCAATTACATCGGTAATCGGGAATGGAAAATGTTGCTGGCTGATGGGATTATGTGGCCGTAACCTCTTGTGAAGCTTGCTCTGTTTTCTTTTTCGAATTTCAGTTATTTACAGTAATTTTTATATAGGTACTTTTTAATATTCTGAGCAGCAAAGGCATGGAAGAAAGCTGTGTTGCCTGGGAAGTGTATATGTAAAGTTTCGGTGGCATTACTTGCTTGTGTCTTTGTTTTTCTATGTATACTTTAAAGGCAGATTGCAATGTGCTTTGCTTACAAATATTCTTCTACTGCAATTAATTTTCTTTATACTGTAAAAACGTACCGATGGCTTATGTAAAATTGGATGTTTGAATCCTGCCTCTTCATCAGAGATGGGCATCCACTGAAATTTTCAGAGAGAGGGAATTCTCTGTCTCCTTCCTCAGCTTCCCCAGCCCCGCAAGGAAGTGCTTTCTCTCTTCCACCAAGGGCAAACGTTTGTCAGAGTGCACGAAGTTCAGACAAGGCGTTCACACAACCTGTGTGACTGTTTTTTAGCGTGTGTGTTAAATGTCAGTGTGTAATTACAGTTATCAGAATTCTTCTAGCATAGACTGAGCTTACATTTGAATTTGTCATATTGGAATGGTCCTCTAAGAAAGCTGGTTTTATTGTTGGGTTGTGAGTTTTTTTTTGGTTTTTTTTTTTTTTGGTACTTTATCAGTTAGCTTTGAAGTTTCCGTAAAAGCGACGGAATGTATTTTTTCTCAGAGAAGTATCTTGTATTTAAGAAGCTGTGTGTGAAACATCAATTTTTTTATTCCAAGATCTAGCTCCCCAAAAATTAGGGGAAAGATATTGCAATTAAAAGAATGCTCTGACATAAGATGACGTACTGCTTTCTTTGGGTAAGCCATATACTGGATATAGTGCAATAGGGGGATGAAATCTTACTGTTTTTGTTAAGGACACTTGTTTATGTAATGTCATGAATCAAAAATTATTTTCTCTCTTCCCAGAGAAATCTGACAGAGTATTTTGTAGCAGTTGATGTCAACAACATGCTGCATCTCTATGCCAGTATGCTGTATGAACGCCGCATCCTCATTTGTTGTAGTAAGCTGAGCACTGTAAGTAAAATGCAGAATAATTTCTTCTATTCACAGGACTATTTTTAAAATGACAGTCATATATAGGAAGTGATCTGATGATCTTTAGGTCCCCCTTCCAACCTCAGCTATGCAACCTCAAATCAATTCTGTAGTACTATGTGATGATTTTACTGAACTTCTGTTGGCTTCTAATGTTGAAATGAAAAAGATTTTTTTCGATACAGGAATTCTTGGGGTTGTTTGGTACGTAAATATACAAACATTTATTTCATAGTGAAGTCCCTTTTTCATAATTTACTTGACAGGAAAAAAAAAATAGATAAATGGTACTGTTAAATGGATGTTCCAGTGACCTTCTCTGGATGGACCGAAGGAGTGGGCTAAAATACATTGACAATCCACATTTTTGCACTTTTTTTGATAACGTGTAGTCTTAATGCTACTTAGGCTCCATCAAGGGTCTGAGAGATGAAAGCTACTGAATACTCTAGAGTATTCTCTTCTAAAAATGACTGAACATCAAAACAAGCACGCAGCTTGATGTAGTTCAAAGTTTTCTGTTATGCATTTCAAGGTTTATCAGTCAATAAGACTGTGATTTTCTTTATAAAAGAAAATGTTAAGTTTTCATTCTGTTTGCTCTGTAAATGGGTATTGATTGCTTTTCTTTATGAATGACGAGTGTAAGATGGTTTAACTAATTTTGCTTTCTAGTGCTATGGACTAAGTACTTGAGCGGTCCTTTCTAAAATACAAGCTACCATTTCCATTTTGTATGGTATTAAGTAATCTCTTACTGTAGGACCATGACCTACTTTGTGCTTGAGATTGAAACTGCTTAATGCAATTGTAAATACTATGGAAGTCTGAAATTATATACATAAAATCATGTAAGAACGGTCTGTCGATACAGGGTAGAAAAATGAAAGCAATTAAGACTTCATACTTACTCTCACAATAACTATTGCAATATCATTTTGAAAGGTAAGTGAAACTCAGAGAGTTAGAATAATCTCTGGGATCTTCTAATACTTATTACATGTTTACAATCAATCCCACACTTGGAAACAAAAGAATTTAAGTATTATTAAGTTTAATAATGTAGAAAACTTGTAAAATCTTAACTTTTATATCTGCCAAGTATTCTATGTCCTCCCTACTAAAATAAGCAAACATACATCCAGGTCTGATAGTTGAATAAAATGAAGAGGAGAAGTGTTTATTTCAGGAACCTAGGGAATGAAAAGAATAGTAAACTCTCAGAGAGGAGGAAAGAAGAGAATGGCTATCCAAAGCATTTCAAAGTTTGTGGGGCTGGTTGGTTGGTTTAATCTCTCCCTTTGTGACAGAGCCTGGGAAGAAGAATTACTTACCTGTCACTTTGCCTTCCTTAATGAGCCATTTCACAAGTAGGGTTGTGTTTTCTTTCCTATCTTTCTGCTATTTCTCTTTCTTTTGCCTCTGTCCAAGATAAAAGCATGTCTGGTTCTTCAGTAGGGAGGGGTATTCATACTGTGTGTTCTTATCTTACAACTTTATATATAAACTGCTCCAAGATTGGAGTGACAGTGTAAGACAGGTTTGAAGCGTTGGGCCAGAGCCAGTGATTCCTTGCCTGCACGCTCTGCTCTGCATGTTCCAGCAGTAGGAACAAGCTGCATTATTTTATTTCAAACTGTGCTCAGCGGAAGCCAAGACCTTGTAACTGGAAACGTACCAAACTGAGAATTCTCAAAGTAAAGTGAGGGTGGCGTGATGGTGAGGGGGATTGGTTTCTTTGTTTTTACTTTTTAGGTTTTTAACAAAAAAGTGGAGGGGACCTATTTGCAGTTAATTTCTTTTAACTCAGAGAGACATGGCACACTTCATACTTAAGGCTTGAATTTAATATCAGGTAAGAGAGAAAATTAAACAGTCCTGGATGGAAAATGTTTTAAGGCAGAATGAATTCTGTGCCATCATACATCATATCAAATTCAAATTTTGTTTTGAAATATCCGTAATATAGTTAAGTTGAATAAGATTTAGAGGTAACTGAACGAGGCTGCGTTTCGTAGCTATTTGATAAACCATATGTACTGAACCTACGGAAGAATTATTGCTGTTTTCTTGGATTTTTTTTCTTTTTTACCTACAAAAGGAAACTCAAATAATTTCTCAAAATGCTAAAGCAATTATTAATGTTAAATTTCTTTACGTATTCTGTGACCTAACTGCTCATGAAAAGCCGGGTACAAACCAAAATGAACTGTGCTTGGCAAAAGATGACCTGCTGGTGGGAGCACGCTGTTGCAAAAATGAAACAAGAGCTTTTCTTGCATCCAGTATCCTCTCTTCCATCCTAACTTGCCCGTGCAGCCCTGCCTCAGCAAGGTATGTTAACTACTTGTGGTAAGGGCAGCAGCACGTTGTCTCTCATTATAAAAAGGTGGCTTACATGAAGCCTGGTGACTCTTAAAAGACTTAAACCTGTGAATTTCTGTGATGTTTCTGTTTGGCTCCATCATACTGAGTTGGATTTCTTTACGTAATTTTTCTGTTATTTTTTGAGTGTTAGTACAAAGCAAAAATGCCATTTTGACATGGATACGCTTTTGTTCCTGGGAATTGAGAGCTTGCCGTGTCGCTTTTTCCATGTCATGGAAGGCTCTGATGCACAGCCTCTTATTCCCTGCCTGGTTTCTGACATGCCTCGGGGCTCTGAGGATAAGGAAACGGTGGTCCTTAGGAAAAGACAACGTATGATTAATAACATTCACCAAATGTCCTTGTGATGCAACATAGCTAAGAGCTTGCACAGTTCTTGTTCTACAGCAGTCTTACACCTACTGTTTTAAACGTACAAGCTCTTCCTTCCCAAGAGCTCTGGTGCTATCCTTGTAACCTTCTGCCAGTACAGGTCTTGATCTTCATACACAGCCTTTGCCACAGCCCTGCTTTCACTGCTTAATTCTTATGAAGCTCAGTCTTAAGCTTCCTACTTTGTTTTTAGCCCTGAGTAATGCAGAAAAAATGATCGTACAAACACTCAGAAGGCGGTCATTTTTTTCGAGTGTCCGTTGCACGTTTGTAGCCACGTACTGCATCTGCAGAACTGTGCAGTGTATATGCGTCGGGAGAGAGAAAGTAAAGCGCGCTGGAAAATGGCCTGTTATAATTCAACATCACTTTATAATTTTTATATGTGTGATAAAATCCCATTGATTTAATTTGCTCAAATAAGGCTTTTAGAGTATTAAATACAAAACTGCAAAAAGTGAGTGAGTGAATCAGTGTCTGTCTTAGCTATCTTTTTACATTCTCCAGCAACAGCTGCAGGAACCTGAGGTAGTGGAACTAATCTTATTTCAAAATGCTGGATTCCTATAGTTTTGACAGTTGGGCATTTCTCAGGCTGCCTTATTATTAAGTGCTTGTTTTCTGTATGGCAGTCACTAATCAGGTGAGGTCTCCAGCAAATATGCTATTTCTTTTTCATGAGCCCTTATCTTGGCAGAGTTGAAGGACAGTACTGGTGCTTACCCATGGCAGTATGTTATTTGAATTCATGCCAGATAGCAAGGTGGGAGTACATCTCAAAAATAAGTGACAGGTTCTGCTCAGATGTCTGCAGTGTTGACCATTATGTCTGTTTAATCTTTTCTTGCTGAGTTTTAAAACCAATGGGAGGAGGGCTTGGAAGGGGCCTCCTTGGATTACTGAGTTCACTCCTCTACAGTGGCAACCATGCTATATAATAATGCCAGGAAATAATCCATTTGATCCTCATAGAAGCAATTTTAAAGTAAGAATTAAATTTCTAAATAGTATTTTTTCCAGACATCTCTTTGATTCGGAGAACAGAAACAGAAAACATAAAGGATTTAAGAATATAGCGGAAAAACTACAGTGGGAAAGCACACCCTTTTTTTCTGCAGCATATTTTGGAACTAGGCTATGCCTTTTGTCTCATCTGTGAGAGGGGACCATCTTCTCCATAATAGAGAAGATGGAATAATATAAAGGTAAGTTGAAATATAATGGGATAGGGATGAATCTTTAATGTTTTGTGAGTGATAAATATAGAATAAATTCAAGATTTTGTAGCTTCTAACTTTTGCTTTAATTAGTGTCCCAACATACTCATATTTCCATCCCATATAGACCATAAAATAATGTTCGCCTGCTAATAAAGAGCTTTCTTATTGAGAAAGACTGAACAGGTACATGTTCAGATACTTGCTGTGCCCTGTCTGCTTCCAAAGATGCTCTTTCGTTAGGACGGTTCAGATCTAGTTTAAATTCTTGTATAGTCTTACTTAGGGTAACGTGTTATCAGCACTGGGATGCTTTTGAGCTTTGTGGACTCTCATGTTATGACACTTGCCCAATCAAGCAGTGCTAAGGTGAGGAGTGACTGCGTAGCTTTCATGGGCGACAGAAGTGAAAATCTAAGGGATATTAAAAGAGGGTCAGACAAGACTGCGCCTCCAGATTTCATCAGTATTTCACAAAAGAGTTAAATGAAATTGTGGAGATGCTGAAGTGGGTGTTAAGATGAACAGGGATGAAACGGTACTATTGTGGAGATGAATGTCAGTAATTCAAGAAATTATCTGCTGTTCAGTATAGTAGACAATTGGTAAAGAATGTAGGCCTAGAGATGGATATAGTAGACAAGACAGAGACCAGGGATTCAAACAGATTTTGTTTGCAGTCCTAGCGAGTGGGACAACTGTACGGAAGTGAGCAACGTTCTGTGTAGAGAAACTTCATTGCTGCACACCAAGCTGCAGCTGCTGAAGTCTGAAGAAAGTAAGATCAAAATAGATTCTGGAAGAAGAAACACAAGAAGAGTTATGAACCTAAAGAATAAGATCCGATTTCAGAAATTTGTATTTGGTGTTGAAAGTTGGGTGTGAGAGCATTTCTGCCTGAAGGAAACTACAGTTCTTTGAGATATATTTCTATGAAAAAACTTGAAACCTGTCGCAATGAGGACTAGAATTAATGAATGCATAAGCAAAGGCTAATGAGGAAGAGTAAATATGACCTTTGCAAAAGAAATTCATGCCTCAAATCTTAAAAATCTTTAAAAATCTAGAACAGATTGAACAATGTGGAATTCTTCAAAACTATTAAAGACATTTTCATGGCATAGGAGAGTTTGATCCTCTTGAGGGTAAACAGCTGTCTAAAAGGTTGAAGGAAGAAGGGTGAGAAAAATTTCCATTTTTCCTAACCCTGGAAGTTGCAAAGCAATCCAACAGCGTTCTATTCTGGAATCTGTTCAATGTCCTCATGAAAAACTATTTTTAAAAAGGGGAGAAAATGTTGTAGCAGTTATTTTGTTGCACAGCATGGGTAAATACAAAATAATGCTTATGTGAGAAAATGCTTCTAACTACGTACGCAATCATGGTCTGAATAACTGAAGTAATTTTATTACCGCTCAGAAAGAGATACTGGAGTTGGTTGTTTTTTTAAAAAAAGAGAGAGAGATTGATCTATGAAAATGCCAGCTCGCTACTCAGTTGAAGGCTTAGAAGCCAAGAAAGTGTTATGAAGGGAGTAGAGAACAAAAAAGAAGGTATAATGCCACTAGATATGTTCATGGCTTGCCCACAGGGAGAATATTGCATGAGTTCTTATCTACTCCAAATAAAAAAATGATAAAGTGAAACTCTGAAAAGTGTGGAGAAGGATAACAAGAACAAGCAAATGTACAAAATAATCTCTCAATTAGGCAAAGCAGAGTAGATGAGAGCTCTTCATTCAGCCTGGTAAAGGTGCTAAGGAGGTAGGGAACTTGATAGAAATATAGAAGATCATGTGTGGCCTGTAGAAGATAAGTAGGAGGTGATTTATTGTCTTAAAATGCTCAAAACTCGGAGCACACATTAAAACTGGGAGGGAACGGGCTTAAAGAGGCAGGGCAGTACTTTGCAGTGTATTTATTTGAATTCATTGTCACATGAAGTATGAGCTTCAAGGTGGTGGGGACTGAGAAAATGTGAAATACCAGTTTTATTGATGAATGTGTTGGTCAGCGGTTTTAGTAGTTTGTGTGGACCACTGTTGGACAGAATACTGGGAGACAAGGGATTTCTGATCTGGGTTAGTAGACCATTTGTTTTCTTAGCTTTTTCTTGATTAGGTGATGGGGTTGATTTGAACTCAGAAACGTTATTAAATAGACAGATTATTAATCTATTTTAGCCACAATAACAGTGTCTCTCAAGTAGGTATGAGGTATAGCTTAAAATTCTGGCTTTTCAACTTGAGGATTTTCTATCTGAATTTTTTTTCATTAAACTCCTGTCAACATACTGGGTCTTGGGTTCTAAATGATTTTTAAAAAAATCTGTCTATTTTGAGCTGTAAATTGCAAAGTGTATTTCGGTTCATCTTTATAGTCACTTCTCTGCTTTTGAAAAACACCTGCTTGCAAAGCTCGTACCTCACCGTAGTTCTTATCTGCACCACACTGCAGAGAAGCACAGTAATTCTCCCCGGAAGTCCCTGTTCCATGGTGCATTCTCATTGCTTATCCAGATCTGTATTGTTCAGAGGCTTAAAAATAGCACATAAAATATGTGCCTGTCTTCCACCTTCTTGCCTAATGACCTGCATTTTAATCAGAAGACCAGGTTCCGTTACTTACAAAAACTGCACTGGAATTACATAAAGGCTTTGGCATTGAACATAAGCCAAACTACAGCCAGATTTGTAGCTGATTTTCCCTGACACGGAGCCTTAAGAGACTCTGTATTAGCTTGTCTAGACCATGTTCTTTACGAGTCGTGGGTTCCCTATGAAGAGGTATATAATTCAGTAGTCTGTCTTAATGGAAATTAATAATGAGGGTCATATTTTTTAATTTTTTTTTAAATGTTACACCACATCTAACTGAATTAGGATTAACGTTGGGATTTGTCTTTGCTTAATTTCATCTCACACAACTTCCGTCCACCAGAAGGACTCAGTCCTTTAGAATTTGTCTTTTCGGTATTCGTAAGCAGCATTCTTCCTCCTTCCTATGTCCAGACAAGCATTATATGCTTGATTTCATCGTATGTTCAAATAACTGGTAGGTTTTTGCTGAGTATTGTTTTCAAAATGTGTCTCTCAAGTGAAACACGTTGTAATACTTGTGCTGGGTATCATTTGAGCTTAAAAGACACTCTAAACTGCAAAACACTGTCAGGGTGGATGTGATTGCCTGTCACCTCTTAGTCTTTTCCTTGTATGTGTCTATTTGTATGAGTGTTCTGATTTATTTATTTATTTTCTATTTTCGTGTGTGTGTTCATCTCCTCTTCTTACGGTATTTTGACTGTAGCTTTTGCTGAGATTTCGTTATTGAGGACTACCACTGTCTCCATTTTAAGATCCGTAATGAATGTGATAAATATCCTGCTTATCTGCTTTTCCAAATTATTAATTATCATTTAAAATAGGATTGCGAGACATAATTTCCTCCAAAGCTCTCTGAGAATTCTTCCCACAGCTTGACTGGCACCTGTGTTTGCTATTTGTGATCTTTTTCATTCAATACCTGCTGACATCAAAACTATTCTGACTGAGTTTTTAAAAATATAACTGAGAAATTCAATGGATCAAATGATTTTGTGAAGGGCAATTAGACAGAAATCCCTTTTAAGTAATAAAAATTTAATCACTGAGTTTCATATGATATACTCTTACGAAACATATGCCACTCATTGTATCTTCCTGAGCTCAAATACTTTTCCAGTTTGTGTTATTTCAGTACAGTTTTATGATATATAACAGATGGTAATTACCAGGATCAGAGGATTTGCCTTTACTATTTTTTAGTTCCTTTTGTGTTTTTATTTCCATGTTTCTGTTGCTTTATAGAACGCTGGGTGTTCTTTTCGGGTTTTGTTCGTTGAATAAATCATGTTCTCAGCTGTTTACAAAGTCAGCCGAATGAGAACCACCATAAACCAGTCATGCTTCATCCACCAATACCTTTTTTTTTTTTTTAACAAGAGCACTGTATATTTTGTAATATAGCATGTTGATATGAAAGCAGAATTGATTCTCTACTTTTTTTCTTCTAACTTTACCTTTTTAAGCTTGGTTTTTGTCTTATTTATGATCCTGTTTTAATATGTGTTTTTGCAGTTAACTGCCTGCATTCATGGGTCTGCAGCTATGCTCTACCCGATGTTCTGGCAGCATGTTTACATTCCTGTTCTGCCCCCACATCTATTGGACTACTGTTGGTAAGGCTATATATATATGTGTGTGTGTATGTATCTGTGTTATATATATGTATATATATCACTTAGATTCACAACAGTTTTCACATTCCTGTATAGTAAGTCTTAAGTCCTCTTATGATGCAACTGTTACTCTAAAAATATATAGGCATATTAAGGAAGCAACCAACCTAGTAAGTAAAAAAAAAATGTTTTCATGGCAAGATAAAATTGTCTATCAGTATGTTGAAATACTCTGATATGAGTGGTTACTAAGGAATGTTACAACTTTGATATCATATAATTAAAGTCTGTTTTCAGCATATCTGTCTTAAATGTTAAAATCTGAATTAAGACTCCAATAGTGGAGGATACAGTGGAGAAGATACTCTCATTTTTCAGTTTCCCAGAACTTCTACTGGGGGTGGGGGAAAGGTATTCACTTTCCTGCGGCGATCTTTTATTATCAGTGTGTGTTTAGAACATTATATTTACCTTTATTTAGGGGAATGAATATAAACCTTTCAAAAACTTACTCATTATCATGATATGACAAATTTTGGCATAGCCCATGAGCAACCTCATATAATGTCAAAGGGATGGAATTAGTAAGGCCAAAGCTTGGCTGGAGCTAAACTGCAGGATGTAACTGAAGGGTAACGAGGCTTCTACCAGCTTGGCAGAAAAGGGAAAGCACAAGGGAAACGTGGACCTGCTGCTGCATGGTCACATAGTGAAGTGATGAAGGACACAGAAGAGGCCGAGGGGCTCAATGCCTTTGTCTTTTCTGGCAAGGTCTACTGGCTGGCCGTCTGGGTCTCCCGGCGTAGCAGTGACGTTTGTGGGAGTGTGGTGCTTAATGCACTTCTGGGAATGGTTTGAAAGCACAGAAACAGCCTCCCTGTGCCCCCTCGCATTTTTAAAAGCCCTTCCTGGAAAAAGCCCAAACTTGTGTGGTGTCGTATGACACAGTAAGTTTTTTTTTTTTTAAGTGTGGCTTTTAGTGTGGAGGTTTGCTGGTGGTTTTTTTTAAGAGTGATAGTGTTCTGTGTGATGTTTTCTCTGCATTTAAACAAGAGTAAGGAACCGGCCGGGATCACTATCAGAACTGAAACATGCAGATTTAAAGGAAGCTTGTTCCTCTGCAGATGATTTAAATGCTAAGTATGTGCGTATGTCGAGGATACATGGAACGGAATCTAAAAACTATTATCTCCTGTAGAAATGAACCTTCAATTTACTCGCTGCACAGGAAGGGCAGGTTCTACTCATTTGCACTGCCAGCAGGTGCCCTTTCTCTGCATAATGGGCTTCGCATGTGTAATTAACACATGAAGGCTGCTGCTGCCAGCTTTTTCTTCAGGTACATGCTGCTCGGAGTTTTCACGACAGCGATGTGGACCACAAGAGGCTTTTGCGCTGGGTTTGAAGATTAGGTATTCATCGACTTTCTGACAAAGACATGTTAAAAGGGCCTAAGTCCAGATCCCGCAGTTGGGAGCAGAGGTGTGCAAAAAGCAAACGCTTGGGCGGCGTACCCAAGGAAATAAAGACACAAGTCATTGAGCTCTACTGAATGAATTCTTTCATGGTGTAACACCCTGGCCGTATAACGAATAAGCCAGCTAGTGTGTGAAAAATATGATTTTAAAATGTGTAATTATTAGGCAGATTGTAATGGCGTGCTTACAAATACAAGAACTGATTACTTTAGACAGAGATGAGCTTTAATTGGAGAGGTAGCTACACATACTGTAATTGTTTGAGTAAGTCAATCTAGCAACAATTAAAATGCCATAAATATATTTCTCAAAATAGAGTCCATCTATTTTGTAACTATGTGAACTTAGATATGTCAGTTTTGCTTAGGAGGACTGAGAAATCAGCTCTGTGCTCTCTGCTTTATTGGTGTCTGCTGCTTAAGGGAAATGACCTGAGATTATTTAAAATAAAAAGTTTAATTTAATTTTAATTCTTGGTTGTTTATTTCTTTCTCAAATGTTGCATTAGAATTTTGAAGAGCTGAAATGGAAACAAAATCTAAAGTAATGAGAATTCTCCAGTTCTTACGAATACAAAATATCATGTTCATTCAGTTGACTGTGTCCATTTATTGACTGTGCTGTATGGTGCTTTTGAATCTTCTGCTATTTTGAAAAATCACAGAAGGGTATATAACTGTATGACTCGTGATCTTTAAAAGTTTTTGAAAAACGTGTATTCCACCTGTAATTTTTTTGCTTTTAAACAGTGGAAACGTTTCATAGAAAGGGAATTTCAAGGTCCGACTGATAGACTGACAGCTCCAGTTAGATTTGTGGTATTTCCTGGGGAGGGAAGGGGGACATAACAACTATCAGCTGAGTTGTTGCTCAGTTTTGAGAGCGCCCTTTAGCTGTAGAGAGAAGCGTGCGTTCCTGCCTGAGGCAGGAAAAGGTGGGTAATCGGGTATTGCTACAAGTGAATGGCAACTGTACCACAAACATGCTCAGTATGAATGTGTTTCACTGACGTTAAAGCTCAGTTTTTTTCTATAGCATTTTGCCCTTTATTGGCACTTTACACCAAGTACTTTCAAAACACTGTGGTTTCTCATTTTTTTTTCAGTTTGCTCTGCTCTAATTTTTTTAACTTACAATGCAGAAGGGGGGTAATTTTCTTCCCATTTCCCTGTTGAAAAGATTTTTTAAAACTCAATATTTATGTTCCTCTGCATTCCTCATTCCTCATAGCTAACCACAGAATTGAAAATGCCAAAAGCCTATACCTTCAAAATGTTTGTTCTCCATACACTTGCTCTTTGTACTAAGGATGCTGAGCCAATAATATTGGTGTAGTACCATGTACATGTATCTGGGATCACTTCAGTCATCTGATCCCTCTCATTTAGATTAGTTGAGGCGGGGAGAGAGAAAGCAAGGGGAATAGTGCTATCCTTTATTTTAGTTTTTAATTAGGTGCCGTTCTTTGATATATTTTCAGCCCAGGGAAAAATTTTGGGTGGAGGAGACTAGAAATTGGTGGGAAACCTATCATTAGATTTCACACCTTAATGCACAATTGCTTGTTCCTTTGAATACAGAGCAACAGAGGAAAGATATGAAGCAGTGCTGGTTGGTTTTTTGGTTGTTTTGTTTGTTTGTTTTTAAAAAGTACATGCCAGCAGGTGCCAAAAGTACTGGTTAATGAGATCCTGCCACCAAGCATCAGTAGCCAAGCACATACAACTACTTAACCGTGGCCAGATCTTGTCCATCTATTTTGTTGTTGGGAATTTAAACATTTCTTGATGTGAAAGAAACAGTCTTATTAATTTTCCTCACTACTTCCAGTTTGTTTTTCATGTGGCATAAAAACACTCCCACTGTGTCTGTTTTCTTCCTTTTTGCTCTCAGTGTTTGTGTTTAGAATTAGCCTGTAAGAAAAGCCTGACTTTGACCTGGTAACACAGCTTAGTATGTTCTCCAAGTCCCAGAGCACCGTCACTCGGGTTAGTCTGTGGGCTTTTACCAGAAGCAACAGTATATTTTCTAGGGTGATTAAAACAGTCTTTTATATTAGATAGACTGCTTAGCAGCTGACATTAATATATTCTGAGAGCCACCTTCTTCGAGAACCCTGGCACAGCTGCAGAACAAACATTTCTATTGGTGCAGTTTTCCCTTTCTCCAGGAGTTTTTTTAACTCCCTTTCTTGTGTTTTCTGAATCTGCATATAGTTCAATATGTTCCGTTAAGTAGGTGGAGGGGGTAGCTGGAGGGCGAGCACTCCCGCTGCTCAGGAAACAATGATTCCTTCCTCATGAGCCTCTTGGTAGGCATTTGGATTTAGCCTGGAACATCTGTGTACCGCTAAAAGCTCTTGTTGTCGCTCTTCTGGTTTCTTAGCTGTATGTTTTCCACATCATTCCAATTTATGCAGTCAAGTTTCTAATTTGCATCAATTACCCCAATAAATTTTGGATTGAATTCTGTTGCATTTCAGTGAGTAAGCTGAAGAGAAATCAGGAGACTACCTTAGAGAGTGAAGTACTACTGGTGTGGGGGAGCAACACCTTAAGTAAGTGTTTGTATATCAAGACATGAACTTAGGACGTGTGGGCTAATCAATTTTCCTGCAGCAATGAAGCAAAATGGTGCAAATCCCGGTGTAGATGTAAACTATGAGCCTTACGTTACTTTTTCTGGTGAATTGCAGTATTTTTTAAGGGTGGTATTTTTTACTTTTTTTTTTTTCACTTAAGAGGAAATGTCCCTCTATTTCACCTGCTTCTCTTCCAATTAGTAGTTGCCCACCTCTTGGGAGCATAATTAAGAGGTCTCTAGTTAGCATAAGGAAACGAATTAAAGAAATTGTAAAAATGCAACTGTAATAAATGGGCAATATATAGCCATTAAGTCCACAATATCCATATTCATGCTTATGCATTGCTACTTTAATGATTTGATATTTACCTGTGTAACTCATTTGATTATAAATAATGCTGGTTGCATGGGGAACCAGTGTAGCACAGCAGGAGTAATAACCTTTCTCTTCGTTCCAAAAGACTTAGGCAGGCATTTTATTTAAGCAGTAAATACGCGTAGCAGAAATTGATACTTCTCAATTTTGCACTTAATGGATATTGGCTGCCATCAAACAACTTTGAGTAATTAGTGGTTGTGGTTGTAAGAACCCCCAGGACTGCTGAAGTGTCAAGCGGTAGGTAAAGACTGGTCTGAAGGGCAGTCTTTAATCTGCCATGGGTCCCAGAAGGAATAAACGTTGTGCAGTGTTTCTCCTGTTTATACAAGCAATGTGTCTTACTGAAGTTCACTTGAAAGTCTTGGAAATACACATCTAACCTGATAAAATATTAAAACCTGCTTGAGCGTTTCATGTCTCAGGACCTGCATAGCAGTTAGGAAGAACTATTATAGTGTGGTCTGAACGGGGAAGAGGAGGCACACAGCAATGTTCCCTTGTACAGGATGGTAGCTGGGTATTCAAGTAATGGCATATGTTTAACTCATGATAAAGAAAAATGGTGATAAAAGCAATATATGAAGCTTGACAGGAACCTTCAACATTTACTTTTAGGTGTGTTTCCTTTTCAGTCAGATTGATGAGCGATGACAGAAGAATATAATCTCTCTGGTAGATTTTATTTGAAATATTTATGCTTTTAACCAGAATTACATTTTTTTGAGGTTATTTACGATGTTTGCTTAGTTAAACTTTTGGGAGTATAAGGAGCTATCATCGTGAATTATCCTTAAAATATCTTTGCTTTTGCTTTGCTGTCCAGGTGTCATTGAACAGTAATGTCAGTTCTGACAAACAAAATGAATTTGGATAAAATAGGCATTCAGATAATTTGATTTTTGTTACCCATGGAGAAAACACTTTAAGGTCCACATTTGGGTGATGAACAGTAATAGTTATTTTAAAGCAGTTTTGAATAAACAAATTTCACACAAATACACCTTCAAAAACAAGTGCTTCATGGATGCATCGCAGTTCTGCTTTTCTCCACATCTGTCACCTTTCACACAAACTAAAACCTGCCTTTGTTTCCCTTGATTCTCTGCTGGGATGCTTGTAGATGCCTCCTATTTGTCACTCCTCTCCGGTGTCTTCCAGTCATTACAGGCCATGGCTTTTGTGGTTAAAACTGAGTTAATTTCTTTTCATATATTCCCATAATTTGGGAAATTCTTCATTAGTCTTCAGATCTAATCCATTTCTAAATGGTGTGTGTTTCTTCTGCTTCATGTCTGAAATGTGGCCTTTCTCACTGACCAGGGTGGCTCCAGGTGTCTTTGCCCAAGCTCTGACCATTCAGTGTTTGCCCTCTGACTTCTGTAAGCCACAGAATTGCTTATACATGTTGAGAAAGCTCTTACAGGAATTATTTTCATATGATTTTGTCAACCTTCCTCATTTACCTTCTATTTTCCCCATCTTCTCTTCTGCATGCTCTTCGTCTTCCAGAGCCCTTTGCAGCATGTCCCTTGTCTGCTTGTCATTCTCTGCACCAGTGCCATGTCCCAGTGCCCCGTGATCCAGTTTTTCACCCGTGTGTTACATGTTTCTCAAATATCCAATGCCGCCTTTGGTGCTCTACCTCGTTCCCTAGTGGAAATCTCTGCAACTATTCTTAAAGTGAACGCAAGTACTTGCAAAACTAGCACATTATACTTTAACAAATTAGGGCTTCAAAGTTTCCTTTTGTCATATCAACTGGCAAAACCTGAGCTTTTTTTTCTATCAGTGGGTATGCTAAAACCACTCTCTGTAGTTCTATAGCATTAAATTGTTCCTCCTGCTTTCCCCAGTCTGTCCGAGTGTATGCACTGTACAGCCCATTAGGCACCTGACTGGAGTCCTTGAACGTTTAGTAATACAAGTTTAAAGAAGTAACAGCTTTCAAAACACTGCTAAAAGTCAGGTTACCGTAGCCTTTGTCCCATCCCTGTAATGGTTTTATATGCTCTATTGCCTTTACATGTAATGTCTCTCACTAGAAAATGGAAAAGATGATTCATTGCATCCAAAGCTGACCCATATATCTTGAGCCCTATCTTTCCTGTAACTCCTTAAAATCTTAACTGGGGGTGCCTGGTTTTAAGGGTGTAGACTTTCTTATTATTCTTTTGTTGATAAACTGGAGGATTGAAAGATGGATTTGATACAGTTAAGTAGATTTTACAGGTTCAAATTTTCCTTTGCTTGGTGACAGACTCTACTTTTGGACACGTTAATAAACGGCTGGTTTTCTGGAATACTGCAGTCTTCCTGCTTCCTTTCATTATGTTAGCCAAGGTTCCACTAGATGAGACATTTGCAGTCTTAAGACTTCCTGCCGAGGTTCAGACTTTGTATTTTTGAGATTGAAGCTGTCGTGTTCATGAAACTACTTAATTAGAAACACATTCATTTCAGTGCATACTGGAGGAGTCTTGAGCAGCATAGCCAGGCACACAGGGAAGTTGAGCATTTGTGCAGCTGGCAGCTAAACCAATGGTTTATACTTTGAATATAAAATTACGGGGTATTTTCTTGCTCCTGGAATGTGGCCATTGGAAATGAAGAGATGTGGGTGAAAGAGAGAGTGTTTGTCACAAATAAAAGATGCAAAATGACAAATAAAAATACTCCTCAGTTGAGCAGCAATCCATATGTAATAAGTGTGTATCATGTTGTATGGTAAAAATTTCTATCCAAGAACTTGGGTGTATGTTCTGGTTCTCATCTGTGGAATTCCCAAGGAAGCAGATCCTTCAGGATTTGTACCAAGTTAGGTTCCGATGTAACAGTCCCTCTGGGCTATCTGTCATAGGGTGCTGTATTGGGTGAGGCTTGGGCAGGGGCACCCCTGCCAGCCTAGGCAGCTCAGTAAGTTGTAATGTAATGTGATACACGGCACTTCTGTGTTCTACAAATAACTTGTAAGGGTTTTTTGAAGTTATATATGGTTAATGTCTTCAAAAAAGAAAAAGGTATTTCCATGTAGTATGTCTAATACAGAGGCTGTTTCCATCTCTTGGTACAGCATTCAAAAGAGTAGCAGTTTTAGGGGGTATGTTAATAAATGTTATACATATTAATATGCATATCAGTAAATATATATATATTAAAGTATTTCTCATGAAAATGGGAAGCAGAGTGATTTTTGCTGGTCTGGTGTCTTGCGGTAGTTTTTTCAGCACTGTACTTCTCTTACTGAGCAGTAGGCACCAGTTTATAAAAGCAATATGGAAGATATTTTAATCCAAGGCAGTACAGTGACATTTCTCTCTTTTTTTTTTTTTCCCCCATCTGAAATTGAAAATGAGCTCTTTGAGCTTCTGTATCCAAAATGAAATGAGTCTCTATTTTAAAAGTTGTGTCTGTCTGTGTGCTTCCCGTTTAACAGGCAGTATATGCCATATTTGCAATTAGCAGCTTTGGCAACCTCTTTGATGTGTTCTAATAAGCAGTGCAAATATAAGCTTTCCCCAATTAGTTGAGTGGGAGTCCTGTAATAAGCTTAATATTAGAAATACTGTATACACAAAGATTCAACTTTCATTCAGTATTCTTCTTGTGTTATATAGTCCACATTGGTGTTTGCTAACATCATAGAAGAGAAGATGGAAAAGATCAATCTTTCTCTTAAACGTTAGCATTCTGTTTGATAACAGAAGTATCAGACCTGTCTCTGAGTCCTTCTGTGTCTGAGGCTACAGATTTGGCCTAAGAGCCTCTTGGTGTATTTAAGTTTTGTGTTCTGAAGGGAATAATTGTATCAGCGTATCCCTGCAACTCTGGAGTTTATCAGAATCTTCAAAAGTAATTTTTGTTTCTCTTTTATAAATGTACACGTTAAGTTTTATACTTAGAAATAAATTATTTAAAATATGCCTGGACCCATCTTCAAAAGGTTTAAAACTTGTAGTACCGGGTCATATCTATATGTTAAATTAGCCACTTAATACTATAACAGGATCAGTTTTTCTAAAGAATACTCTTAGAAAAAGTCTGGGCATTTTTTTCAAAACTGTAATAACACTGTTTGTTTGTTTTTTTGTTTGTTTTTTAAAACCCAGAATTACAGAGATGTTTAATAGCTGTCCTTACGTACCCGTCTTAACTGAGTCACTTAGAAATTCTGGTGTCAAGAAAAATAAAAGTCTTACAGTAGTGAGAGGATATTGCATAATAAAAAAAGTCTTTCAAATATGGAATAAAATTTTGTTTACATGTGGTTTGTCTCTGTGTATATTATTTTTTTAAGCAAAATCTAATCCAGTATCCCAGTGTTTTCCTGTGGCTAATTTTATAAGTCATACGTGTTAATCCAGTGTTACGAGAATGTAAAGCTGGGTCTTTTTCTTCTTTGCAGTGCCCCAATGCCCTACCTCATTGGAATACATTTAAGTTTGATGGAGGTAAGTCTTTCTCACCATTTCTGAAACTAAATATAGTTGTATGATTTAGAGCCAAATTCTGCAAGCAATTATACATTCATTCACGTGCTTAAAAATGAAATAATTCTGTTAATTTGGGAGTGCTGAGAGAATTGAAGCTAAGCATACATGATAATATTAAATCTTAAAGGAGTCTCATTTGATACCTTCTACTCTCGGGGCATACTTTCTGTTCGCAGCTCAGCAGTCAGGGACGAGCTCACGTTGTGTTCCCCTCTCCATCCTGTTGCTTCATTTAATCAGTTTACTGCTGGTTTAACTCTGTATTCACAAAGGCAGAGTCGATGTTAAACCAAAATGTTGACAGTTACAGTTCTCTTTTAGGCTTTTGCAGACAGATTGTAATTTTTTTAATGTTCAAAAGATCTGAAAAGAAGGAACTTGCTGTTAATGTTAACACAAAGCTGGCAGAAAACCAGCCCTCACAGAAAGCTTCACATATAAACAATTTGGAGTAATTCATGTGACTTCTAAAAAACTCTAAAAGTGGAAATAGCCCATTTGCTTTTGCTTCCAGTACTGGTTAAACAGTTATGACTTTCCTCAAAAGTATCTGGAGGACAACATAAGCTATTAATTTAGATCCCTATGAAAATCCTAGTCCTTATTAATTGTGCCCCTTTACGCAGGAAGCTGAACAACGTGTGTATGCGCC